ATCATAGCAGCAGACATCGCCTGTTCAAAAAATACAAAGTAAAATGTTTTATATACACATACATTTAGTGATCAACTTATTTAAGAGGACAATATTGTCCTTACCATGAAAATATATAATATTTCAGAGGTTGATTTACCAAATGGAAATGTCTTTTCTAGTTACAATTTGTAAATTTATTGTACATCTATAAGTCTTGTTTATATACAATCAAAGGTTTTGCTAAAAAAAAAATGAAACTACAAGTGCACAAGAGTAACAGCAGCAAGTCCATTCACAAATGAAAGGTAATGTCCATCATGATGGTGATAAGCAATGGGCTTTATAATTGTCCCTGCAAGCTCCTTGTATGGATCTGGGCCGATCACCTCAGCACATGCAAAAGAAGATAAACAGGAGTGTGGGATTCATTTAAAATTATATCAACTGGTATCCATCAGAAATGAATACTGCACAGAAGTGCACTTGGCTCAGTAAGAGATAGTAAAGCAAAAGAGAGATATCCCCAAGCTGGTCAGCAGAGCCTGCTAACACCGCTGACCTGAAGCAGCATTCCCCACTACTGTATGCTCTCCTGACTGAACTGTGTGAAATGTAGAGCGGTGGCAACATGTTTCCAGGATGTATCCTCTTTCATAAGCCAGTCTTGATTGATTGCCAAAAGTATTGGGTCAGCCCTCCAAATCATTGGATTCAGGTGTTCCAATCACCTCCATGGCCACAGGTGTATAAAATCAAGCACCTAGGCATGCAGACTGCATCTGCAAACATTTTTGAAAGAATGGGTCGCTCTCAGAAGCTCAGTGAATTCAAGCATGGTACCGTGGTAGGTTGCCACCTGTGCAATAAGTCCATCCATGAAATTTCTTTGCTACTAAATATTCCACAGTCAACTGTTAGTGGCGTTATAACAAAAAGCAACTGGGAACAGGAGCAACTCAGCTACGAAGTGGTAGGCCATGTAAAATGACAGAGCGGGGTCAGCACATGCTGAAGAGCACAGTGCGCAGAAGTCGCCAACTGTCTGCAAAGTCAATAGCTAAAGACCTCCAAACTTTGGGTGGCCTTCAGATTAGCACAACAACAGTGCATAGAGAGCTTCCTGGAATGGGTTTCCATGGCAGAGCAGCTGCATCCAAGCCTTACATCACCAAGTGCAATGCAAAACATCAGATGCAGTAGTGTAAAGCACACTGCCACTGGACTCTAGAGCAGTGGAGACATGTTCTCTGGAGTGACCAATCACGCTTCTCTGTCTGGCAATCCAATGGATATGCCTAGGTTTGGCGGTTGCCAGGAGAACGGTACTTGCCTGACTGCATTGCGCAAAGTATAAAGTTTGGTAGAGGGAGATCATGGTGTGGGGTTGTTTTTCATGGGTTGAGCTTGGCCCCTTAGTTCCAGTCAAGGGAACTCTTAAGATGTCAGCATACCAAGACATTTTGGACAATTTCATGTTCCCAACTTTGTGGGAAGAGTTTGGGGTTGCCCCTTCCTGTTCCAACATGAATGCGCACCAGTGCACAAAGCAAGGTCCAGAAAGATGTGGATGAGCACGTTTGGGGTGGAGGAACTTGACTGGCCTGCACAGAGTCCTGACCTCAACCTGATAGAGCACGTTTTATGAAATTTAATTTACGAATTACAGCGCAGATGGCAAGCCAGGCCTTCTTGTACGACATCAATGCCTGAGCTCACAAATGCGCTTCTGGAAGAATGGTCAAACATTCCCATAGACACACTCCTAAACCTTGTGGACAGCTTTTCCAGAAGAGTTGAAGCTGTTATAGCTGCAAAGGGCGGGCCAACTCAATATTGGACCCTACGGACTAAGATTGGGATGCCATTAAAGTTCATGTGCGTGTAAAGGCAGGCGTCCCAATACTTTTGGCAATATAGTATATTTTGGGACAGCTATAGCAACTTGCTCTCATACCAGCATACCAGCATTGGGATAAGACAGGACTGCAACTGACACTACTGAACCTAAAAATAATCATTACCTTATCAACTTTCATTTTGGGTTCCTTGATTATGCAAAATGAATGAAATACTTAAAAATTACATCAAAAGAGATTTGCTCATTTCTACCATTGTGCATAAGCACCATGTGGTGTTAACTCTTAGCGGCTAGAATTGGCTTGATGCGTGGTTCTGCATGGTTGGTTCCTTTGTAAGTGCAAATTAAAAGCTACTGAGAGGTGAAAGGCAGTACTACATTTATGTGCTCTTGTGTGCTGATTGCAATGTTGTAACCTTCAGCGCCTGCTGGTAACTACTCTGCAATGCAGCTCAGATCTGTGCTGTACACACCGGTTCTCATTAGTCGACTTTAAAGCAAGACTACAGTTTCACGCCTGCACCTGATCAGCAGGTTTTTGTTACTTTTCTCATGCCACAGATAGACGTTTATCTCTCTGTGACTTCTATCTGACTGTCTTTGCCTTGGATTATTCCTGTGTATTGTTTGAACTGTGTTTATACCCAACTTGTGCTTATCATGATCGATGACCTTTTACATTTGCCATTACCAGTTCTTGCTCCATTGACCTGCCTAGAACCTGGAATTTGTTTGTCTGCGCCTGACCTGGCCATCAGCCAGCTGACTCTGCTTCTATCATTTGCTCTGACCATCTGTCTGAGGGCTTACGCTGCTCTAACATCTGTTCTGCCTGTTGTCGCCTGTTGCCCCTGGCAACACAGAGGGTCTAATGCACCCCAGGGCACATGGCAGACCTATTTTGTTACGTTAATTATCCTTCGGCATACTGTCCATGCTTCAGCTACTTCTCTCAGTTATGAACCAGATCAACCTGGACCATTACAATGCATTAAGATCCAGATCTGTCTGCCATCATATTGGTCTGTTCTTTGACATTGGATGATTCTCATCACACTCTAATTCCATCAACATCCTCAAAGATCATGATGCTAGTGACAAGTACAGGAAGTACCCCTCCATCCCCACCAGCTGTCCTGAAGATAGGTGACAACACCCCAAAATGTGTATGAAATCATCACTAAGGCTGAACTCCAGGTTAAACAAATATTACCTACATGGAAATGGCATTAATATTATTACTTGACTCTTGGGGGTTTATTTACTAAAGCTGGAGAGTCCAAAATCAGACTCCCTTCTGCATAGAAACCAATCAGCTTCTAACCTCAGCTTGTTCAATGAAGCTTTGGCAATGAAACCTGGAAGCTGATTGGTTTCTATACAGAAGGGAGTCTGATTTTGGACTCTCCAGCTTTAGTAAATAAATCCCTTGATGTCCATTACATATTTATTTCTGAGCTATACAGTAGTCCAGCATTAAAAAAACTCCTGTACATTAACTCAGGGGCTTCCTTTGCTAAAGACCAGTCAGTGTTGTTTTCTTCTTCTGCAGGGTGACTGGTCTTGTATGCACCTCCTGTAGTGGGTGGACCTGCTGGGATCCTCCCATGGCTTCTGTCTCTGCACAGGGTATGTGCAGCACTGTGATGAACAGAACACCACTATTTAAAAAAAGTAATATTTGGGTTTGCCAAGGCATTTGGTGCACACAAAATGGTTTATATAATTTTGGAGATTTGAGAAATATATTTGGGTGGAAGTTTTTGTCTCGCAGTTCAACTTTAGAGTAATAGCACCCGCAATCCTTTTTTTGACATTTCCATTAAAATAGGCAGCTTCTGCCAGGCAGCATTACATCAACACCTGAAACTAAATAAGAAATCTCAACTGTCAGAAGAGTCTGTGTGTAATTCCAAGCAGATAAGTAGCAACAGAAAAGAGGCAAATTACAGCTAAAAGATACAGAATAATTAATTACAGCTAATTACAATTTTTATCATGTTGACATGTATAATTATTTTAAGGAAAAGTTTAATCACTGTGGACATCCCCTTTAGTCTCAAATTACCTTGCTGATGTTGACTTTCTTCCCACTCCTCAAATTAACCCCAGTATAGAGAAACACATTGTGACAATCAGGAACCAATTGAATCAGCCACTGGGTGCATGTGTCATTTGCGACATGGACGGTAAGATCTATGATCCTCAGGTAGCTCCATTCCCTGATTTGGCTATTACAAAAAATGGTCTCACTATCCCTGTGGGACATTTTGTTTGTTTGAAATCACGATCAGGGAATGTAGAAAAATGAGTTAGCTGTCACAGAAAAAGTGAGACTTCATGGCAAAGATGGGGGTGTTTGGCTGTAAGATGTAACCAGCGAAGTTACTTGGAAATATAAAAGGTCACTTTGTGATTTGGACCCACCAGTAATGGGTAGAATAGAGATCATCTTTATAAAGAGGCAATTATCGAATTCACCAATATTTGCTGCTTTTTCACCACCCAAAATAATGTTGGAGGAATCATCACATTCATGAAACACATTGGCTGGCCTGATTTAGATACACAGACTGACTGTGTACCTAAAGTAATGCAAAAGGGGGCATAACATTTTTATTAACTTACATAGGTCATTCAAATTTCACATTTTTCTAGAGTAACTCCATTTTCTTCTTATTTTTTACTGCAGGTAAAAAATGGATTCCAAGCAGAAGCAATGTGTTGTCATTGAATTCTTGATGAAGGAGGGGTGCAGGCTGTCTGACATTGATGGTCTTCCACTGCTTGGTTTGTCTTCATTATTGTTTCCCCAGTTCCCTTTCTTTAAACTTCATCCATTTATGCACATTGCTCTTGTCAAGTCGAGATCTCTCCAGAGTCTAGACCAGTTCTGTGATGTCACTGTGATTTCACGGGTCTGCACTCCTGGGGATCACAGGAGTGCAGAACCAAGTGCACTCCTGTGATCTCCAGAGAAAGTTAGGCCAAAAGAGCTTTGGCTCTATTTCTCCTTTAACCGCCTCCCGTCTGACATATAGTACAATGACGGGCGCAAGGTGGCTCTCTAGTTCTGGGAGGACGTCATATAATGTCGTCCCATTCTAACCGCGCATGCAAGGCTCCGGGAGCGCGCAGCGCGGCAATTGGCGGTGCACTGTGTCCCTCGGACACAGCGGATCACCGATCAACAGAAAGAGCCGAAGATGTCGGCTCGGTCATGTGATCAGCTGTGTCCAATCACAGCTGATCGCATGTAAATAGGGAAATGCCGGTTATCTGCATTTCTCTCCTCATGAGCTGTCAAGGTGACAGCTCTAGAGGAGAAGAGAGCTGTTAATTGGCATCCCTCAGAGAGGACATGTACACTGATCATCAGGGCACTGATGATCAGTGTGCCCTGATGATCTGTGTAGCCCCAGCAGTGCCACCTGTCAGTGCTCATCCATGCCACCTGCCAGTGCCCATCAGTGCCACATCAATGCCACATTTCACTGCCTACCAGTGCACATCAATGCCACATATCAGTGCCCATCTGAGCTGCAATTCAGTGTCACCCATCAGTGCCAGTCACCACCTATCAGTGCTGCCTATCAGTTCCATATATGAGTGCTGCCTTTCAGTGCCCATCAGTGATGCCTGTCAATGCCCATCAGTGTCACCTACCAGTGCCTCCTCATCAGTGCCCATCAGTGCCACCTATCAGTGTCCATCAGTGCAGCCTATCAGTGCCCATCACTGCAACCTCATTAGCGCACATCAGTGAAGGAGAAAAATCACTTATTTACAAAATTTTATAACAAAAACTAAGAAAAAAATCTTTTTTTCCCAACATTTTCAGTTGTTTTTGGTTTGTTTAAGAAAAAATAAAAAGCCCAGAGGTGATTAAATACCACCGAAAGAAAGCTCTATCTGTCTAAAAAAAATTATAAAAATTTCATATGGTTAAAGTGTTGTATGACCGCACAATTGTCATTCAAAGTGCAACAGCTCTGAAAGCTGGAAATTGGCCTCAGCAGGAGGGGGTTATAAGTGCCCTGTAGGCTAGTGGTTAATTAAACTGTCAGCGTGTTTTTGAGTTTTTTTTTTACCCAATGTTTGCAACATTTCCGCAATCCTTCTTCAAAATCCTGCAAAATTTGCCCTTCTTCTTGTATATCCATGTATTGATGAACAAATCTGCCTGGGATTGTTTCGTGGAGGGATCTTAGAGGGGTTTGTGAATGTTTGAATTTCAGTAAAACCGAACCTTTCCCTGCAGCAGCTTCTACTGCATTGACGCTTTGATTGCCTTTGAACCCCTTTTTATAATGAGGTGGCTGACTTATCCACAAGCTCACTTTTGGCCCTTCTAAGCTTAATGCCCATAGTTCAAAGGCCATGCATTGCATTATGGTTTAAAAAAAATTCTCCCGGGTGAGTCTGCACATTAAATCTGCTGGGACTGCAATTCTAGAAAATCTAGAATAGAAGCATTGAACCTGAACCTCATCTCTACCTAACTATAAAACATACATTGAAAAGATTAAAAGCTAGTCATTGAACACCCATATCAGTGTTCGGTATATGGTTTTCCCCAACGACATGACTCTTATTTTTGTTGGACAACTTGGTTTGCATGTAAATGTCGTGAAACTTATAAATAAAGGCATGTGAAGTAAGAAAGGGATTCAAATAATGAAAGTGTTATTAAACCCACAACAGTAAATCAGTCTGTATATGCAGTAAAGCATGCTTGCTAAACTCACTGTGGAACCTAAGGGGTTAATCCTCCGCATTATGTAAAAAGTCATCCTAACCGGAAATTACGTCACCTCGTTTCCGTCCTACGCAGGTTACGGCGACGATCACCGCCATCTTTATTTACTAAGTATCCATGCTGTTTGAGGGTGCTTTAGCCCCTTTACCCTTGTGAGTGCTCTTTGTTTTTGTTTTAGTGTAGTTGTTTGGTCACTTGTGTGGCAGCTCATAAGATCTTATTAATTAGTATTGTTTATTTAGCAGTTTATATTTACTAAGAGAGAGAGAGAGAATCTGGCTGTGGTAGGTTACATAGAAAAGAGGACTTTTCATTGTAAAGTACATCTATAGACTCCCATTCATTCATAGTCTTCTTGCTGAAAATGTAACAGAAAGCTGTATAGAGAAGTGGAAGCAGAACTACATCATCCTGTGGCTGGAGCAGGGGTGGACTGACAACTCATGGGGCCCCCGGGCAATAGGGGATCATGGGGCCCCTGTGTCCTTGCCCAAACTCAAAAAAGCCTATGAAAAAGGTACCAGGGGCATCTCATGGGGCCCCCGACTGACCCCGGGCCCTCGGGCAGTGCCCGAATTTCCAATGGTCAGTCCGCCCCTGGGCTGGTGCACACATACTGTAAGTGGGTGTGTTTGTGGGCAGTTCACTACACCTCTGCTGGGAGGGTTTCCCGGCACTTTTACCCTGGTTAAGACATGTGAATGTGGCTTCTTGTCCACAGACAGGGTAGAAGCATGCAATAAAACAACATTGATAGCCCTACTTACTCCCTACCTTCTAACACTGATGTAATCTAACTGGAAGCACGCGCGGTGACAATCTCACAGGATTTTTAGTGCAATAGCAAAAGTGTTGTCACCTTAAAAAAGGAAAGTGAGGAATAAATATATCACCTAGCAAGATCACCAGATAATGCTTTGCATTGACTTGATAATATATGTCATATTGCATTTGGACCATAGTTCCACTGGGTTAGTTCATCTTTCGGGCACATTTGCCATGAAACCCACTAAGCTTTTCAGGATGCCAGCACATTACATACCACTACTCAGCTAGTAAAATGGTGCAACAGAACTGAGAAGGATTGAGCACTGAGAAGCTTTTGCTGACAGGTCACATATGGCCTACACCAGCCTGTCTTGTCCTTTTAATCCCAGAGGAACCCTTTAAATAATTCTTATTTAAAACCAAATCATTGGTGATCATTGGGAAAAATGTGTTTTTTACAATGGTGGCCAATGGGAAAAATGCTGTTAACATTGAAGGCCAGAGACAAAAATGCCCTTTACATTGGCAGTCAGTGGGAAGACTGCCCCGATTTCAGTGGTGATCAATGCCAGCTATAAAGCTAAAATGACCTATAATTTTCTGCCAAATGGTTTGGCCCCAGAAATATGCAGGCACCATCAGATGGGAGGTTTCAGGTCCAAGGTCTGAACTGATGATCTCTGGTGTTCTGGTGATGTCTCTTCTTACTGAGCCACCTGGGATTCTGGACAGCTCCCCTTGAATGTCCTTGCCTTGAACCTTGTTTCTCTTGAACCTTGAAGCCTTTTTTCCTCCCATGGACTTCCTATTTAGACCATGTCTTTGCACTTCCTGTTTGCCAGATTATTGTGCTCTATCCAGCCAATATCTCGTTCTTGTCACTCCTGCAGCTGTCCTTCTCTGCCACCACTTGTAGTTGACCTTTGGTTTGTTCCTCGATTTTGCTTCTGCTTGATCCTAACCTGCAACTACTTGTTTCTGACCTTTGGCTTGCTTATTCTTCCCTATGATCCCTATATGCTATATTTGTTACTATCTTTTTACTCACCTGAGATCCTCAAGACCTCCACATGGTTTTAACATGAAGCAAAACTGATCTCCACCATCAGGAGCTCTGGTGAACACTGGTTAATATTTAGACTCCACACCTCGAATGAGCCTGTGTCATCCCCCAGGGTTACCTGTTGCCAGGGGCGGACTGACCATTTGGAAACTCGGGCACTGGGGGCCCCATGAGATGCCTCTGGTACCTTTTTCATAGGCTTTTTTGAATTTGGGCAAGGACACAGGGGCCCCATGATCCCCTATTGCCTGGGGGTTGTCAGTCTGCCCCTACCTGTTGCTGAACTTATCCACCGGGCCGGAGGGAGCCTCTCTACTGCTATAGCTATTGGCCTCCAAGCCTGATCCCTAGACCATGACAGGAAGTCAACGAGCCACAGCTCAAGAAACCCCTAGCAACATCAGGAGGAACTCTAGAGTTACATGGAGCCCTGGTTGAGAATGGTGGGTTTACACATAAGAAGGGGAAAAAGAGCACCTTTTTAACTGGCTGAGCAATGGTATGTAATGTGCTGTGGATGCTGGAAGGCGCAGGCGGTATTGTGGGAAAGGGGCAGGAAAGGTAAACTAACTCTTTAAACAGAGTTTCCAGCTGCCCATTGATAGCATTTCAGTTGTTGCCTGGAACTGTACTTTTACTACATTTGTGTAGCCAGATCGTAAACATATACAGTCATAAAAAATGAAACTGTATTTGTATCATAAAAGAAGAATCCATTCTAAAGGTGCAGTATTATGGAGCATACAGTTCTTCCAGCATCTGCCTTTCCCATATTAGACCTGATTTACAGCAAGTCCTGTAATTCCTTTTCCGGGAGATGTAAACACAGATTAATTCTCACCGGCCACTGGATGGAGATAGAGGTTATAAAATAAAATCTTTTCTATTACCGAGCGGGGAAGAGATTAATGAGACTATTTAACTGCTTTTGCTGGATCTCCGGGCGTGATAGCCTTTTTTTTTCTGATGACATCATCGATGCATTCAGAATATTGTGATATATGAATGACTCTACCAGGGTTTAACACTGGAGATGTACAGAGCAAAATTGGCAGAATTTCAAGTACCTTTGCACATTAAAAAAAAAATAAAATAAGTGTTATGCTGGAAGTCATGCCAACCAATCAGCAGATATTACATCTATGATCGGAACTAATGGGTATTACAATTCAGGAAGATTGTAGGGATGCCATGGCGACAGGGCGAGGAAACGAAAATAGGCGCCGTAACACGATAGGCTGATCAGCTACATGCTACACATTCATGCTTCTGATTGAGTGGCGGCCTTTTGCCAAAAATATTGTTAAAGTCATTTTAGGACATGGAGGAGACAGTCCAGCCAAAAGGAACAGAATCTTCCAGGTGCCGCGGAAGTTTTGTGTCTCGCATTTATTAGTAGAAGACTTAAAGATGCACTTCCCAGCATATAATACACTGGCCTTTGGCGAAATACAAGTACCAGCATGCCATACCATCCAGAAGAAGTAGATATACAAGCTTTAAAGGTAAGTGATTGACCCACAAGATCAATGTTAAAGGATCACTCCAACCAAATAGGATATAGGAGGAGGATCAAGCCTCCTCCTGAATAGGCTAGCCACACTATTGTCATGCTAATTCTTTGACCTCAATACTTTCTAAGTCACAGACTTGCAATACAAATGCAGGATGGGAGATCTACTTTACTAAAACTTACTGTTCCATACTTGCTCCTTAAAAAATAGGGATTTTCAAGTTTAGAAGTGAAACAGTGGGCAGAGCTGAATTGCATGCCTACATATAATCTGAGCATAATGGCATTGCATATACGTGCCACAGTCCTCATACCCACTAAATACTCACCAATTACTGTGCCACAGTCACACATAAACCTCAAGACCAGCGGTTCTCAACCTGTGGGTCGCGACCCCTTTGGGGGTCGAACAACCCTTTCACAAGGGTCTCCTAAGACCATCGTAAAACACATATTTCCGATGGTCTTAGGAACCGAGACACTGCTCCTCTATCAGTCTCCAGGCGGGTCCGCCCACATGCAGATACGTCCACATTTCCCTGGACCGCGATGTGT